GGGGGGGGGGGGGGGGGGGGGGGGGGGGGGGGGGGGGGGGGGGGGGGGGGGGGGGGGGGGGGGGAGGGGGGAGGGGATGCGCCGAAGGATTCAATATTTTCTCGTCGCGATCGGGCGGAGATTTGTCTTCCATCGTTTCCTGCCTCGATCGGAGCGACGACCTCTATCCGTCTTCCATAACCTCACGCTTGTGATCGGTGTGTGCGGGGCAAGGGAGTAATAAAACCTACCATGCCTCCAACTATCGAAGATGACATCCAGTCATCAGGACAGCCTTAATTTTTTCTTATTGCCGTTGAGAATCAGTTGTCAAGCCCGTTCACGTAAATTCTTTTTACCTTTTTCTTCGTTCTTCACGGTCTTCTTTGGAAATCGGCACCGGCAGATAGCCACCTGCCGATGGTGCCATACCGGCGATTGCTGAAACATTGGGACAGCCCCAAAATAAGCAACGTCCATGTAAAAAAATTCACTTTAGGTTCACCTTAAGGAAAGATGCAAAATGACCCGGGGCAAGTTTAAAATTAAAAAAAACGCAAGCCTGCATGCTAAACAGAAAGACAGGAATATAGAGAGGGGGGTTAACCAATGAATGTTTCGAAATCATGGGAGTATAAGAACAGTCCACTCCGCAGCATGCACCTGATGAGACCGAGCCGAAGAATGAAAGAAGCGAAAAAAAATTTTCTTGATCCATCTCCTTTCCTTTCCCCATCTTTTTCTCTCCAACATGTTTTTTTCTTCTTCCTGTCTTTCATATAGTCAGTCCCAGAATTTCCAGAATTTGATCGTGAAAAGAAATTGCAAACCTATGCGAGTCACGTCGCCTCCTCCTTTCCCCGTCCGGACGGACTGTATTGTACTGTGCTCACCTCAATACAATGGGACATTTCCTCTTTAAATTCATTTGCGATACATCGCGATGGTAAAAAAAAAGCAATCGATAGTGGTACTGATAGTGGTACCGATGCATCGATCTATCGTGACAGCCCTAGTTGAAACCCTGTGCGCGTTCCCCAATGAAGTCCACGAGACCTTGATCTAATCCCTTTAACAAAAAAATTATTCATTAATCCAGACTAAAGGTTTCTCTTTTGTCGCTAAAACCCTTTCCTTTCCGAGAATCTCGAGCCTCTTCATTGAAATATAAGACCTCCGCTTCATGAATAATTTATGACATCTTTCTTCTGGTAAGTTATTAGTAGACGGCCTATTTGCTACTCTATTATCAAGAAACTTCTTTGCCAACAAAGCTCGTTCTTAACGTGTATTTTCGTACATGTAATGCGAAGTGCTGGCCTCATGTTTAAAATGTGTCTGATTTTGTAAAGCTTCACTGGTAAGGAGTAATCACCCGATGGAAGACTACTTGATATAATTGACCATCCTTGACTCTTTCTCTGCGGACAGCATAGGCAAATGACCCTATATTGACTTTCCGAGGGGCCTAGCACCATTGGTTTCGGTAGATAGGGTACTTTTAGGGATCCCAAATCTTTTGACAGCGCGTCCGCTAAGTGCGTTATGCAAATCACCATCTGTGTATTTTGTTTTGAGCATTTTTTTTAAAAGAGATGTTGGAAAACATGGAAAATAAATGAATTTGTCTAAAATCGTTTACTTGGGCCCTGGGCTCACTTCCTCACAAACACGAAAATGCTAGACTTAAGTTGTGAACGCTTTAAGAAGCAGTCATCTTCAGACTGGAGTCTTTTCTAATTGTTGGCAACATATCGGGTCTTGGCTGATATGTATGCAGTGCATGTAAGTTCTCCGTATGTTTTCCCCTTCGTGAGGTGGATTGATAGGTACATCTAGTGAAGAAAAACATCAGAGCGAACGAGGGACTGGTAAATGTGTAATAAAAAGAATGAAATACTATAAACTTATGTGTAATTTGAAAATGCCTGCCTCCAGCCTGATGAAAGTCGTCCACAAGCCTGAGGAAGGATTCCTCTTCGTGGACACCACCAACAAATAGGCAAAACTTTGAATCGAGGATCCTGTTTGTGGACACCCTTCATTCGTTGTTTTAGAAGACTTTTTCATCCATACATGGATAGAAATATGAATTAGGAACTTCTAGCAACACTTTTGAACATCATACTCGAGGCCCACATCAATTCTTGTGAAACAATAAACTTTTGAAAGGGTTCGCATCCGTTAAGAAAAGTCACTGGACACAAGGAATTCAGGGGTGCTACATCTAAAACGAAGCAAGAGTGTTAAGTTGACTCTTTCTAATAGGCATGCATAACTTATATGGCGACTGACTGGCATGCGCATAACATGGAGCAATCGAAATGATTAATTTCCTTTGCATATTTTTTGGATGGCAGAAAACGCGGAATCGTCCACAAATTGGTGCCCGTCCGCGAACTGGTGCCTTTACCCAATCTATATAGTGCAACGTAGGTTTGAAATCTGTTCATTGGCAGATGGAAAGCATGTATTCTTTTCTCAAAAAAATTTTTTTCACTGTTTCACATGATGCCTTTTCAATCCTATCCTGCGGTTTTATAACTTTTTATTGTCCGTAGTGGTGAAGGGATTGTCCGTAATGTATTCTACATTAATTTCCCACAGTAATACGTATCATACCGTTTTGTGCCTGTCCTGACGGTTTTTAATATTTATGTTGTGTAATGTTGAAGTGAAATCTGATCTCTCCTCTTCGAAAGCTGAGTTTTTCGTTCTTTTCGCGCAGTGATCCATATCGTACCGCATTCGAACCTCTACTCAGGTATTTAATTTCCCATTACATTTCTATGTTTGCAATGGTGAAGTTTTATATCCTTTTTTTCCTCTACGAAAGCTAGTATTCTGCTTTGGTACTGCGATACATATGATGTCGTTTTCGAATCTCCCCTTCAGGTCTTCGTGTCTTCGACTGTCTGCATTTATTGTGACTGTAATTGTAAAGTGAAGTCTGTTCTTTTCCCTTAGAAAGGATGCATTCTCCTTTCTTTTCGCGTAGTGATCTACAGAATATGATTCCGTTTTCGAGCCTCTCTTCAGGTGATTGACTTTCTATTGCATGTAATATTTAAGTGAAATTTTCTTTTTACCCTCTGACAGGTGAAATTTTGCTTTCCTTTCGTACAATGATCCATATGATGGCTATATCCAGCCTTTCCGCATCCTTTTCTGCCGGTATTTTAATTTCTATTTTCTGTAGTGTTAAATAGTTAAATACTTTCTTCTTGGAATACTTAAATTCCTGCGTGCATGATGCGCAATTTTTCACATGAAACCTATATTCACGCCTCTTCACGGGCCTTTGCATTTCTATTTCGTGTAATGGAGAAGTGAATTTGTTCTTTTCTCCTCTGGAAGATGACAATATATACTTGTTTCGAGCTGTGATCCAAATTTTGGATTTTCGTGGAGAACAAATTGTCTTTTGTTTTCGAAAAATCAGCATCAGCAAAGCACATGGCAAGGTGCAAATCTCCTTGACTTTTTCACTGGCCAAACATTTGTGCACATTTGTGTGTGTGGGGGGGGGGGGGGGGGGGGGGGGGCGCATTCATTTATTTTCCATGTTTTCCAACATCTCTTTTAAAAAAAATGCTCAAAACAAAATACACAGATGGTGATTTGCATAACGCACTTAGCGGACGCGCTGTCAAAAGATTTGGGATCCCTAAAAGTATGCTGAAATGGGTGCCTGAAGTTGACAAGTTCTACGACAATGTTTAGGTGAATTGAACATCTCTTGGACGTTTCAGTTGATATCCTGAACCTTGAAATAACACATATGCATCGATGAATTATCCGTATTTCTGTTCATCAAGCAAATGCAAGAAGATTGTGCAACATTTTCGGGAGACCAGGAGAAGCATTATTTTTGGTCACTAATGCTTCAACACTCGTTTAACTGCTTCACATCATAATAATACAGTAGCCGTTCAAAGCTGACCTACCCATGCTCACAGCAGGCCCGAAAGTAGATTTAAGAGTCTGATTTTTTATGTTACAAAGTAATGCAATTCTCTCCTTTCAACTAGCGAAAGAAATAGATAGAAAGAAAGCAGAAAGTCAATCCTGTGGTCGGATAATGTCTTGATTTTCTGAATATGTTGCCAGTACGATCAAGAGTGTCTTGAGGTTAGGGTACGCTTGACAAAACTTTTCAGGAAGGTATGTTTGGCAATACCATAGCAACAGGACGATACGGATGTATTTGATAAGCAGAACTTTTGATTCACAAGGGAAAGGTTCGTGCGGATGCCCGTCGTTCAGGATTGGCATGAGAAAGGAATGTGAATGAGTGGAGGTCAGCGAGGAAAGTATTAGAGTCGTAAGCGGAAGTTCTTCATCCGTAATCCCATCGGCGACCCTTGCTCGGGGTTGGGTATAGGACGTCGCGAACTTGCAAAACCGAAGAGGTCTCTCCACTGTCCTGAGCATGCGCGGTCGAGTAACCGTTCCTCATTCCCGCAGAAGGGCATGGGACGGGAGGGCGGAGAGAGAGAGTGGATGATGGAGGAGGGACCTGCTGGGCTTGGGCGCTGGGCCTGTGGGGGGAATCCCGAGACCAAATTCCCCAGCCAGCGCAGTTCCATTCGACCCCTATTGTGAATAGTGTTACGCTCCTCGTGCTGCACTGTCGCAATTCTCTGGCGAAAGTTCTACCTCTTCCTACGCACCCGTATCTTTAGTGCAGTGTGTTTCTTCCTGTGCGATGGATATTGGAAGCCAGGGAATACCATCAAGCTTCATCACTGCCATTCGTGTTGGGCTAGGTGTACTCCGAGCACATGACAGACGCTCTTCTTGTGACGTGTAGGCCTAACATACTGTTTCACTTGTATCCCTCCATAGCAGCTTTAACTTTCCTTTCGTTCGAACTCGATTCAGTTGAAGTGACGTCAATGCTGTCTGAAGCATTTGAAAAGGACATGTGCAAAAAAAATTAACGTAAGATATCCTCTTGAGGTATAACATTGGCAAATTTCATCGACTTGCTAATGAATTGTTTTTCGTCGTTTTAGTATTGCATGCTTAGATGACAGGGAAGTAAGGTTCATTCTGTGATTTCCCTGGGAGCACTCTGCCTAGCAGCATTAAAGTGAGACCTATAGGATTGTGGAATGTCGGATCCAAATGGAAGGACAGGAAAGATCCTCAACACCTCCCCAAAACATGGAATGGAATCCAGAGCATTCGACTCTGGTTACATGGATTCTGGAGAAATCATGGATTCAGCCTCCGGCCTGAATGTTGAGATTAAAACGATGTCCTGCACCAGAGACAGGGACAATAGACAGATACCTCAAGTGAAGGAGCCGAAGACCATGTCCAGTGGTACACGATGCAAAATAGACTACAATCGTAGTGACAGTGGAGTTGACATTGGGTTGAATGAGCAGCTGAGCCAGTTGCAACTGGACGAAGTTCGATCAGACAGTGGATCGTGTTTGGACTCGGGAGTATTGAGCGGTGATTCAACCCTCCCCTCTCCTGATCCGCATTGTCTCCAGCTGAAAAATTCTCCTCTTGGAATCGACGAGGATCATATGAAGAAGCTCGTCTCGGATGCCTTCAAGCAGGATCAAGATGGAGATACGTGAGTCCAATATAGGCGATCGTGTTTTCCTCCCTCTTAAAAAATGTTCCATAATAATTTCTTTCTTTGCTAATGAATAGATACCTGCATTTGGCGATCATGCAAGGTTTCGTCGAGGTCGTGTTTAGTTTGATCCGATTGGCTACGAGTGCCAGTCAACTCAACATTCCTAATGACTTGGGCCAGGTGTGTAACCCGTGGAAAAAACTATCTCTGGTGCAGTCACACCATTGGCATGGGATGTGAAAACTTTTGATTTCCGTCTTTCTCGTCACAGACCCCATTGCATTTGGCCGTGCTGTATGGAGAACCTCGAATCGTGAGGAGGTTGGTCCTTGCTGGGGGTGACGTGAATTGTCGAGATAAAGAAGGGAACACCCCACTGCATTTGGCTTCCATCAAGGGAGATCTTCCTTCCTTACATCAAATGATCCGTCCTATCAGCTCTCTTGAAGCGAATTCCCTCTTCCAGAGATACACTGTCGTTCCGCAATTCGCCAGGGATTTCAATCAGAGGAATTATGAAGGTGAGCTCATGCTACATTCCAGGTAATGGTGAGATAGGTCGATCGATCGGGGATAACATCACGCGATCATTGGTGCCCCGCTGTCTCGCGCGGGGCTTTCTTCCTCTTTCATATTGCAGCCTACATGAGTTTCCGTATCTTCTCGAAGAGGCTATTTTAACTGAAATCCCCGAAGAGGGTTTTCAATGAATGCCATGTGCAATTACGTGAAGTGCAAGAGAGCCAAAGAATGCGACGATGTTTGGCAGGGTTACTTGAGTTTTATTCTTAGATAGAGGAGGGATAAATTTAGCCGAGGAAAGGAACATGGCCAAACTCCTTTTACAGGCAAGGAACTGAGTGAGTATGGAACTGAGAAGGGAAAAAATGTGTGTGTTGAGTCACGAGACTCGCGAGCTGGGGATTCCCCCGGCCCCTTGTATCTAATTTCATTCCGATCCAGTTACTAGAAGCGGAGGCGGCGTTAAATTCAGGTTCAAGAGTCTGGATGTGAATGTATGAGTGAAGGAAAAAATTTTTTTCGGAAACAGGAAGAGCCTGCATCCACTTGGCGGCGTGGAATGGCCACTCCCACGTTTTACGTTACCTTCATGCCATCGGTGGGGATATGAACCTCAAGGTCAGGCTCAGCCTATGCCGTCATGGCCACTCCCAGAATGAATTAGTAAGGACAAAGGAGATTGTCGTCGTCTGGTATGTGTACTCTAGGAGGGGAAAGGCGGAGAGACGGCTTTGCACGTGGCCATTCGACGTGGGGACGTGAGAATGGCTGGGATGTTGATGAAGGAATGTGGGGCGGATCCTAGGGTAACGGATTACCAAGGATTCAACGCCCTTCACCTGGCCCAATGGTCAGACACTCGTCATCCTCATTTAACTGCGTTCATCCATGATCTCATCCGGCTGCGAGTCCCTTCGTCACCCCTTCCGGCGTCCATCCTCAATGAAGACTCATCCTCTTCCGATGACGAGGACGATTTCCCATCCTTCCAGGTACCGTAATTCGCTTCGACATTTTTTATCTTTTGGTATGATATCCCAGTAGTTGGGCTGGGAGAACCGTAGGAGTCTCGAGTACCGCCCGATGACATTGCTTTCACAGAAACTGAAATGACGAGCTAGGGGAATCCCATGGCGTTATCACACAGAAATCCCAGCATGGCTTCAGCCTTTGACCTATATTCCACAGCCCCCGTCATCTTTGATAGGCAGATATCAGATTTTATCGCCGACCTTGTGAAGTTTTCTAGCTAGGGGATAAACGTCATTGCATCCGATAGAAAGCCTTAGCTCCCGTAGGGCAATAGGGAATCCCCAGTCACTGTCTGGGTCGAGGCCAGCGAAAAGAGAGGGAAAAAGGGGGTCATCACCATTTTCGTTCTCACATTGGCTCCTTTCTCCCGCTACGCTGTTGTCTATGCTATGTAAACTTTCCTGTAGGGGATTTCCCCTCATGTTATCTCGATTTTATCCACAGATCCCCGGTGGTGAAAACAGAACCAGAATGGAGATGATCTGTCAAGAATGACCATCAGGGACCTTCATGTTATTGCCTTAGTACATTAGACTTGCTTTCGTTCACGCCTGGCGGCTCCTTTCACGTTCACAGTTCTCTCGTGGCCTTGTCCCCTTCCTGAATTTGAGGTGCTTATGGGGGAGTAAGGCGTTCTAGGTCTTATCTCCTTATGTCAGAAAATTACGCCCATGCACGCATTCTTCTATAATAAAAGACAATATGATCACTATTGCATTCGAAATCGACTTTCCTGAACGAACAAATCGGTTCAACTCTAATGTAACTGTAACTCGAGCCCTCAATAACTGACTTAACACGATGTGGGTTCACCGTCGCATCTGTAACGTTAATGTTTGTGAAGGAAGTTCGCTTTGTCCTCCATATATGTCGCTTTTTGTGCTTCTGATTCTGACACTTCTCCAAAAGTGGTTAGTCCAAAGTGTTAAGTATGCTATCGAGAACTGTTGTATTCCTATGATAGATGAATTTCTTTCAGTTTCAAAATATCAAGGTCATGTTGTCATTGGGGCTTTCCCAGAAAGTGTAAGTGGTAACCAAAGTCGTCACACCACACAAGTCTGGCTCTAAAGAGGATGCAGAAAATTATCTGCCGGTGGCCCTTCTCCCTCTCCCTCTCCTGTCCAAATTGACGGGAAAACCGGTTAACTATCTACTTGTGAACTTCATCCTACCTGAAATCCAGCTTGAGTCGATGGAGCTCATCCGTCCGATGAATCTGCACAATCTGAGAGTACTCGTCAAGGCTCACAAAATAGAAAAAGCCGCAACTTATATATATAAAATCCATGTGATTTGAACGTCAAGCAATCTCCAAGCGGAAAACTAGACACTCTAAAGACCTTACCGTATAAAAATGCAACGCCAAATCATGCAGGTAGTCTTTCATGCATAACAATCTCACCGTGAGGAAAAAGACCTAAAGTCGTCCTTCATCCAAGTGAAATCTGCCTCATTTTCATCTACAAGAACTGACTATTTCCTTTTATGTTGTGATATGATCTAGTTTCGCGTATTTTTTTTTCTACTTTCGACTCTGATGCGATGAAATGCCATGAAACGGAATCTCACCAATAAACCAAACCCTTTTGGCATCACATGTTCATGGTTCATCCTAAATTTTTTTTGTCTTGTTCAGGTTGGGACTCCCAATTTTTTGTTGGCATCTCGGTTCCACATGGCAGCCCCTCTTACCCGATCTATTTTGTTGAATATTTATACACCTGATGTCGATGACTCCCTCCATGGCTTCTCCGCTTTCATTCCTTGCGGACTATTCAATACTTAGGCTTACATCAGCAAGATTTGGATGAAAACTGACTTTCATCACTATGATCAGCAAGAACCGAACCCTCCGCTTCGATTACGTCAGTTCATAAGTCCAGATATCCTCACCTGGAGTTTCCACGACATCACAGTACAGTGCATTTTGAGGTAGTTCAGAGTAATTACAGAAATCAAGCCTGCCAATTGAAAATATCTGCCATCTTAAACCTAAACTGGATCCTGGAATCAACTGTTCATTTTTTTCTCCGACATTTTCCATCTTGCTTGCATCAACATTTATTAGACCACTCTCTTTCCCCCATTTTGCTGTTGTAATTATGGAACGTCCTGATACCGTCTTGGTGTGTTAGTGGCGATTTTTGCCCTGCCTCTGTGTCTGAACAACCTGCGTGAGCCCACAGTCGACAGAGGTTTGGGAGGTAACTCATTGCCTGACTAGGAGGGGGGTCTGACGTAATGGGATGGGAAACCGTGCAAATAGAAGGGAATTTTCAATGACGCGTCAGGAATTTGAGACAAGACAATGCCAAAAAAGTTCCATACATTTGTTTGCCATTATGCCATTCATCCCCTCATTTTGTCAATTATGACGTGTCGATTGGAGGAAAGAGGTGAAACTCGAAAGTTTTCGTCATGCAAATGATGACAACGATAACCCCTCTCGTTAAAATATCATTTCGGTAGTTACAAATAAATGCTGGAATGATAACTTATTCTGAAAAAAAAAAAATTTTCTTGTCACATGTTTTTTTTTTTCTATTCTCTAGCTCTCTTTCGCGAGCACACATCATTTACAGAATTGCATGTGTCCACTGAGCATGAGCTTAGTCAAGTTCAAGTTCAGCACTATGGGATAGGAAAATGAAGTTTCCTAAATATTATCTATATGCCACTCCTTTCGCAAAAAGAGGAGAAATATCGGAATTTCTTCCTCACGTGGGTATTGGGGGACCAGGGGATTTTGAATTGTGGGGCGCACGAGATAATTTTGGAAAGGGGATGGAGACTCAATTGATGAGAGTACCTTAAAATCAAAATAAAAGTAATTAAAGAAATAAACAATTATGCGAGAGAAGGTGAACAGGGCAAGTGCAGGACCGAAGAAATGGAAAATTGGCACGCAAGCTTCAGTACCTCACACTCCCCCAGGAGTTTGTCGGAGTTGGGGCTCCATGAAGGGAAATCAAAGAGGGGAAATAATAAAAAATCATTTGAAACCGCTGGCGTTGACTCGTTCTTCAATTACGGAGAGGGGAGTCTAGAAGAATGAGGTGTGGATCTTTTTCTGACTAATCGGTACGTTATTGTTCCAGACGAGCCAGTGAGGGGGTGGAGTGGAGGGGGTTAGGTACTTTGCTCGAGCCTGTTTTTGTGCTGCTCATTGTCCACGCCAGTATTTTTCACTTGAGTCAGACATTTTTTCACTTGACTCGGGCAGTCGCGTGTGGGACGTTTCTAAAGCATGTGTCGAAGCCAAGTGGGAAAAAATGTCTGAATCAAGTGAAAAGCACAATCAGACGAGAACTATTACGTGGATGACGTCAAGCGCAGCGACGATGCGAACTGTAATGGCGGAAACCAACGGCGTGAGTTGCGATCGTTGCGATGGACGTCATGCTGCTGCATTCAGGCCTGAGCTCCTTGTGGGTGGGCTAACATTTTTTTAAAGAAAAGCCCATTGAGACACTGGAAAATTGTATCCCGTCATGACTCAGGGAACCGACTCTCACTTGTTGGAAATGAGTGATTCCACCTTTACGCCTAGCGTTAGTGTCAAGAAAACGATGCGACCCACGTGCATTTTGGCCATCATGTCTGTGATCATCATTTCTTGTCATGCCCAAGGTAGGCCTACATTTTTAAAATTCAGAATCGGTTACCGCGCCTCTGACTTGAAGCAATTGCAGTGTGTTCCACTCAAGTTAGACAGTATTTCATTCAACTCGGGCATGAGAAACATTCCATACACAGGTGTCTGACTCAAGTGAGAAAAACTCTAGCAATGGATTCACTGATTTTGAAATGAATTCTTATCCTTCTGTGTTGTGAACAGAGGAAGCACATTTTTAAGGGGGTCAGCTTTGTCAGATTACTCGCAACCACCCATCCGCAATATACTATAAGGGCATAGGAACTGGGGGGTGGGGCAAAAGCCCCCCATACTTTTCCAGATGAGGAGGCAAAAGATACCCTTTGCCTCCCCATTTTTAAACCTAAGAGTAATGTGTACACTGTCAAGTTGCAGCTTAAGTTCATTTGTGACATTCAGTGATGATTGGAAAGTAAATTTAGCTTGAAGTAAGGGGTAAGTAAGAGGGAGATTGGCATGGTAGGGCACACTTGAAAGGTGCCTAGTGGGAGTTATTTTTTGTCTCAGGTCAGAGATCTCCAATCTGATCAGACTTCTCCTCTCTTCTCTAAAGTCTTTCTTGGAAAAGAAGGGAGGTTCTGGAGTCAGTCATAAATCTGGCTTGAAACGTTTTTATGGTGGAATAATGAAGAGGTTCAGTACCATGTCATGGAAGAGAAGTGCTCAAACTGGAACGCTTTTTGATTTCATTGCAAAACCAAAGACAACAAAATATGAAGAAAATTCAGGAAGGGAAAACTTCAATGGTGTTGTATTATCAGCTGTCCCTATGGACTAGATTGCATGCGAGCCTATGCATGTTAGTGAAAGTGACCCTTTTCAGCTGCAGAAATATAATTTTCTAGAAAAGGGGAAGGACATTCAATGCAAAGTACTGTGATATGTGGCCATAATTCAATACATATGCCCACAAAAGAAACTGTTTGGTGCTATGTATGTTGTGTATGCATCAGCAGAGAGTCTTTTTTGGCATTGAGGCAGCTCAAGAATTGGATGCAGATGACAATGACATAACAATGCCTTACAAATGGTGCATTGATGCATGTGTATCAAGATATTTTAGACTCCTTTGAATTAGATAAATTGATTAAATATTTCACAAAGTAAAATTTAAAAAAGGAGAATATTTGCACTTTTTCAGTTTCACATGAATTTGATAACTTGATCTTGTTTGAATTAAATAGTAATTTTCTGAATACAGAACTGACCTCTCTCTTTTCCCCCCCCCCTTCCAAGGATGTTCCTACACCTCTGATATGTTATGACTTCTTATGGACACTTTCCTGCAAGACAATTGCCTTGTATGTGCAATCTTCAAAATGTTGTTCTGACAGTTTTTTCTGTATGGCAACCATATTATGCCATCAGGACTTGCAGATAAAATAATGTCTGCCACCAACATGTTTGCTACTGCACTGCCAAGGTCATTGTGTGCTAAGAGTGAATGGCCATGGAAGGGTTCTTTTAGCAGAAATTTGCTCTATGTCACAAGGAGTTAGATCAGTGAAATATGGGGGATATTCAATGACCTACAAGCCTCATCCTGCCAGAAGCATGCACAGTTATGAAATGGCTTGTCATGCCTTCATGGAGAATGATAGTGCCCCAATCCTGGAGTTATGGATAATGCCATTAAATTGTTGGATGAAGTTTTATAGACAGGAATTCCTGGTACTATCCCCAGTATGTTCTGTATGGTTGTCGGTCCAAGGCACCTTCCAAAATGTTTGAACATCCCCCATACTTATCTGATGTTACCCTTTGTGGCTTTGTTCTAATTCCAAGATGGAAGCACCCCTCCATGACCATAAGTTTAGGTCTCTCAATGAACTTGGCTTAGCAGCAAAATGTGGTGGTATGCATCCATTAATCTACAAGCCTTGATGGCATATTGCTGCCATATAGCATTGTGATTGCAGTTGCTATTCTGAAGGTACTTAGTCATGGACTTTTTGGATTGAATTGGTCTCCCTATAGTGGAGACTGGAGAAAATTCCGGATTTCCAGACAATCTACTAGGTGTCATGCTTCCTGCCATGCACAATTGTGGGATGATTGACTATAATCATGCTATTGAGAAGAAAATATGCTTTTATTATCTAACAAATATAATGAGCTTAATAAATAAAAAACCATATAAGGAAATCCTCCATTCCTCAAGATGTTCTTCCTTGGTAAAATTGTCTCCCATCTTTCAGTAGCACTGCATGCCATTCAACATTATCTATGAGAGAACATCTGCTACTCTTACCATGTAGAAACTTTATGAATCATGACCTCTCTTGGCAGTTATCACAGCATTTAGGATGTTCTAACACAATTTATCATCTGAAAGCATCAGGATGGCCACATGCATTGAATGTTTTTTTGTGTCCCTGTTTTAAGCCCTCAGCATAAGAAGAAGCAACATCAATGCAGTAAAACGTGTTTGACCACACAGGGAAAATGTAACTGCAGACATGGGAGAAATGAGAAAGAAATGTTGCCAGCTGTAGTTGTGAGTCTCTTGGCTCCACCTTCAGTAGCTCTGGTTAGCTCCATTATTTCCTTTGGTTGGTTTCTTGCTCTCATTTTTCTTAATTTCTCACTAATTTTTCTTTGTTCTACTTCCTTTATTGGTTGGTCAGCCATCAGAAACCCAGATGTCCTCAATAAAATTCAAGAGGAGATGGAATTCTTTGCATGCATAATTCTCATTGCAGCACCCATAAGGTCCCAAGCCTGGTATGCAAGGGATAAATAATCTAATACGCTGTAATTTTGATAAATTTAGCGATTTGTAAAAAAAAGAAGAAGCAACATATATTTATACAGAGCATAAAATGCCCGTTTGTTCAGAATGTGTGACGAAAAAATCATGCTTTGCGGACTGTTGCATTGTTTGTATGCACAAAAACTTTCATTACAACCTTGTAAACCATTATTTATAATTCCATATATGGTGAAGGCTGCACAGATCAGGATTCAGGGACCCACAAGGGGTTCTACTAATACTTAACCTTCCATCCACACGGTGTCTTGCACTTGATGTAAGTGTTCCAGGAGGGGGGGGGGGGAGGTGTTGCCAATTTGATCCTAAAACAGGATTCTACGAAGGTAGCACATAGGTAAGTGTCCATGTACAATATTATTGGTAAAATTAAAATTAATTGCAAAGACTTTAGAAATTACCTTCTTGTATGGCAACACCATGTGATGTTTATCAGCAACCTTGGGACTTGGCTGTTGATCTTGATACTTGGTGTAACTTAAGTCTGTTATAATAGGATTGTAGAATAAGGATTATTTCCTGCCCAGACTGTTAGGAACTCGCCTGCATTCCTGATGGAATGGTACTGTGCCAAAGTTATGATAAGCATAAAATCAAAGTGGTCCATATTTATCCATGACCCAACATCAGCTTAATTATCCTAGAGTGACTCAAACTGAGGCAATTTCATTCCTAAGTCACTTGAGCCTATCAATCTGTTTTGGTTAAATTCCAATGTGATCAATTTTGGGAAAACTGGATCATTCTTGGGAGGTTGGGCTCAAGTTTGGTTAATGAGTCACTCTGATTCACTAGGACAAGATTCCATTACCTTATCCCATCAGGTAAGTGGGTGAGTTTCTTATAGTCTGTACAGAAAATAATCCTGATTCTTGACTTCTTACACCACGTACAGGTATATCCTTTATTATACCCAAAATGATGTTTATGGTAGCTTATGGTAAAACCAAATACAAATATGTTATCATTTATGACCATATAGAACCATGCAGCCTACCATATATGTGGTGATTTAAAAAAAATGCCCTACCATTTTCTATGGGAGGAAATAAGATTCATATATTTGAGCAAAAATGATAAGATATAAGACTCCTGATATTGAACATATGCAAGGTGTTGGGATGATTGTCTGATTTCTTTCTCTTTTTTTTTTCTGAAAAATTCTCTGGAACATGCATTGTCCCATTTCAAAGTTTACAGGTGGATCAATACACCCAAGTGGTCTGTGCTCCATCATCTCAAAATTCAATTCAAGTAGTTCACCCAGTTTTGGCCTTAAACCAATTTTAATCAAATGCATATTTTTAAGATTGGCTTGAAGACCAAATCTTTGAAAGGGCTCTTAGATGCAACCAATATTTGGCATAGAGCAGTGGTCCCCAAACTTTTTTGAGACCTAGGCTTCATGGACACTGGTCAACCTGGAGTGGGCTGCATTGAAAAAGATCCAACATTTCTACATGGTTAATCCTTTATCTGGCCATTGACCACTTGCTCAAGCTATTCTAAACCCTTTAAAAAATAAGCAGCAATCGAAATTGATTATTCCTGCCATATCCATGTGCACTTCCACATCTCATAGTCACAGAAACTGCCCCTACTTGGAGTCAGCTCATGTAAATGCATCAGTGCTGCTTTGTTAAAAGTTGCATTTTTTATAATTACTCCTTTTTTTCTTCTTAACTTCATTTACTTGCAAGGAAATGCATTTTCTCTGCATTATATGGACCAATTTTAGGAAAGTTCAGCAGGTGCACAACTAAATACACAAGCATTTTAATGTAAGCATGTATTATAAATATCTGAATATCTAAGCAATGACTAAACTTGCTAGTTTTCATGAAATAATTTCAAATGTGGAATTACAAAATGTGTTCATCTTGATTATTCATGAGTGCTGATACTGCAGTTAAATGATATAAAGTAACTATTAGTTAATCTAAGTGGGCCTCATTTTGAATACTGCTGGCATAGAGATTGATGGGCCTGTAAGTTTTTTTTTTTTCCTGCCTAAAAGTGGCATAGCATGAAGATAGGGGGCCCTCCAGTCAAAAACAGTGCCATCTTGCAGTATGTGAAAAAAACCTATTAGTCTCATGAACCTCTCTGTCAAGTGTCAGCTGTATTTAACTGTCCCTTGAAAAGTTGTGGCCAATCAAAATATGGTGGTGACATAACCATATAGTCAAGAAGTTAGTATCTGGGAGTTGGTGGCCATGTTGTGCCCCCATGAACAAATTAAAACTCACTACTGGCCTCTGCTTGAAATACCCTTTCTATTGTCTGTTGGCTATTCTCAAAATAATCTGACCATTTGCCAAATTTCTTTGAATTCTGAGATGGTTGAGCACAAATCATTACCTCACTTAAGGTAAAATGATCCACCTCTAAACAGTATAAATGAGCATTGCATGACTTAGACAGTGGTGCTGAAAAAACTGACATACTTCGTAACATCTTGTTACTGCACAATGTCGATCACATAGCCAATGTATACTTTTTTTGTTGCATTCATGAAGCTGTGTTTCTCCAACAGAAAACAGTAGGACCTTTTTATTATCATCCCATATGTGGGGTGGTCCTAAGTTTAGCCAAAATTTGACAATTTAGGTTGTCATATGTGCATTTACCTAATAGCCTTGGTCCTTTAGACTTTGTGGGTGCTGGAACTGATGCTTGTCATGGCTTTATGTTTTTCAGCCCTGGGTACAAAAACAAAGATGTACATTGATATTGCTGCAAATATCACTTGCTTCCGAAGATTCAATAGCACATCTCAGACAGGCTGCTCCTGTTAGTCTTTTGCTCTTCCATCATCACTCTTAAGTGAGTGAGGCAACTGAGATACATAATTTTCTTCTTTTTTTGTTTTTTGCAGCTCATAAAGATGGGAATGTGGGCATTGTTCATGTGGTAAGTGGAAGGGAAGACACAAACTGGATCCTCACTGAAGGTGGAACACCTCCATATGTCCCTGTACTCTATGGAAGCACTACTTCTCCGTAGGCAATCTTTTCACATGCTCATTCATTTTTGGAGGCCATAGTTTTGGTTGCCATTCATTTTGGAAATCTTGATCCTCTTTTTCTTTGAAAGTGCGAACTTGACAGAACTTGCTTGGTCCTCAAGGGTCAGTGCTATTGTAATCCTTGATGATCTGGATGACACCCTTGTAGGCAACTGGATAAATTTTTCAAGTGATGCAAAATGTCCCAACTATCCTTTCAGTAAGTTGTGGTTTTTCAGGAAGGTGCTGTTTCAGCTGTCATGGACATGATGAAGCCATGCTTATTCCTCTCCTGTTCTAGGTTTTTATCAAGAGCGAGATAAATGCACTACAAGAAATTCTTGGAATCCAGCAGGCTATGATTTGGCTCATCTTGATTGGCCTATTCCAGTGATGTTCTTGGATGCTCAGGCTGATTCAGACAGGCTTGTTAATCATGTATGTGTAATTTCTTTTTTTCCCAGTTTACCCTTTCATCTGCAGTTCTCTTTCAGAATGTTAATTCAGATTTCCTGTGTTTTGCCAATCACAGAGATCTTTGACAGTACCAGAATGTTAATGTTCTCAGTTACCAGGAGGGTCACTGCTCTGCATTTGGTTTTGCTGAGCACATATGATTGGGAACTTTGGATTCCAATGACATTTTCCTTGTGCATCACCAGCTCACAGCTAGGTTTGAGGCTTTTGGACCATTAAGATCCAATTGATTTACTGTAGTGTACTTGAGGTATTATGAGGCCATTCCACTCACTTCCACCTTGCATGTACTGGATGATTTTTTTCTTTGCTTAGGGCTCTCCTCTGCAAGCAACAGCAAGTAGTAGCATATTAAATCCTTTTAATACAATGAGAGTGACATAAGGAAAGTTTATTTTAATGATTTTTCTGGGAGAAGCAAATGCAAAAATTCTGTGATAATTTTTGTCTCATTAGAATATCTCTGTTTCTCTGCCAGCTGTACTGGTATAGTTTAATAGGCATCATTGGAATATTGGAGAGAATTTACATCTAGTCGGATTAGAACAAGGGCTACTACAGTCACTGTTTAGAAAATATTGATGCATCAGCCAGAATGATGGTGCATCAATACTTTTGGGAAATTATTTACTGTCCCTGAATACCATGGAGGAGGTGGGGGGGAGATTGTTGTTGGTGGATTATGTCTACTCTTTTAACAATTGAGTGGGGGTTTGCTTCCATCATCTCTTATGATAGAGATTTAGATGGGCAGAGGTTGCTCAGCAAGAGTGATAAGTTTTGGGCAATTGCATTGGCTTATAAAATCATCAGTGCCTCCAACTATTGAGAATGTATCAAGGCATCATGACTGTCCTATTTAGAACCTGAGAGTGCAAATTATGTCTGCATTGGCATTCATGTGCATCAATTTGAATTTGTCACAACATTGCTTGAATAGTATCACTGCCAGATTGTAGATCATTTGCAATATATCAAAATGGATTCTGTGTCACATCAATGTATTCTGACTTATGACTGCACTCATGAAAGCAAAAGAAGTTAAGACCCATGCAGAGAAATGCTCAATAAACTTTGAAATTAGATACTTGACTTAGTTTTTGTTTTTTCCACCTGTATCAGCCCTTATGAATTCGAGTCTCCCTTGCCTTTGTCATGTTCATATTCTTTTGACCTCTATATTACATGAGCATAAGGCATAGATGACAATACTCATTCAGTGGGTGAGTGCATACTGTCTCATTGCTTATTGGAAAGCTGGGCAGGAATGAACAAATTGGGAAAAGTGAATCTTTTTCCTTGAAAGATACTCAGCATTTCAGTTGTTGTGTATTGAAGTTGGGCACCATAAAGTAGCATTATTATCTGTCTGTTTTTGTTTTTTTCAGTGTTACAAGACGTTCAATAAACCATGGAATGGAACTGGAGGGAAGCTTGAGGATAGGTCTTATCCATTGTGTGCTTTACAGCTCACCACTAGAATGCTTGGAGCTGTTAATACACCAACGTGTATGAGACGGGGAGATGGGGAGCTACTCCTCTTTGGTGGTGGTGGTGACTGTGAGTGTGCATCTTTAGAGTACATTTCAAGGGATTCACTCAAGAACTTTAAAGATGGTTTAGAGGGTTATGCTTTCTTTGCAGCTGTGCAATGTGAGCCTCTTGGTGGAGACAGCATCCACATGCCCCTTGTTCCACGACAAAAGAAGAATTTCAACTACACTACTGGTTCAGTAACAATAGTGGCAGCTCGGATGGACACCTCAAGTCTTTTTGCAAACATTGGCCCTGGTGGTGACTCAGTAGTTACTGGGCTCGTGACTTGGATGATCACTGCTCATCTCTTGTCCCGAAAGGAGTTTCGTGCTGGACTAAATTCATCTAATGAGAGCATCCATTTCATGCTCTTCAATGGGGTGCATTGAAAAACTATTAATTTTTATTAATTTTTGAGCTTTCATTCTGTGATCTTAATGAAATGTGAGAGCTCTCAATTGTTGTAATTGCAGGAGGCTTGGGGTTACATTGGATCCAGTCGCATTCTCTATGACATGGCAGAAGGCTCATTTCCTGAAGCCATGGATGAAACAAAAGAGATTCAACCAAGTCTAATGAAAGTTGAGCATATAAAGCAATGGATTGAAATAGGGCAAGTGAGTCCCAGTTCAAGAGGAAACCCTGTCTTGTATGTACATTCTAATGCACCAAATGATCCTCAGGTGAGTTAATCCAAGTAACTTGATAATTTTTCCTAATAGTGGTATCATATAAGAAATGTTTTTTGCAATAAGCCTACCCTTATTCTCATTAGGTGGAAAAGATGACAAAATTGCTAAGTAATTACAGCAACAGCAAGATTGGAAAAGCAAATTCTGGTGTTCAGCTCCCTCCCTCTTCACTCCATTCTGCTCTCAAAGCAAATAAAACCATTCCTGGTATCCTGCTGGCCAATTTTCCTGATTCTTCATTCCAGAATTCGTGGGTACCACCTTTCATACTTTATTTCCTGTCCCGTGAAACTCAGGAATACTCTCATTTCAAGTTTTTTTTTTTCAGGTTCTATAATGGTTTCAAGGAAGTTGGAAAGGCCTTGAATTTTGAGTGCAACTCTACGCAGATATCAGCTCTAGCACAGCACCTGACAACCACAGCTGAGGCATTGGCCTCGTCCGTGTATGATTTGATTACAAACAAAGGGCCTTCTTTTGATGTCAGCCAGCTCATTAATGTCTCCACTGTGCGTTTTCAGAATGAGAATTGGTCAGATTTGTGAAAGCACAAGAGGAAAAAAATAATGCCTTCCTTTTTTTTTCACTAGGCAAATGAGCTGCTTCATTGTTATCTGTGCTCAGGGAATTGCACAAAATTCCGAGAGGTGACTGACACAGATTTTAGGCCAAGCTTACCTAAACCAGCTTATCCTCTATATGTGAGTGTGCATCGGCCTCAAGGAGGAACAACGATGAACACAGTGCGCATCTTGACCCAAAGTGTGCTGGGTGCTCTGACAGGAACTCCTCTCCCTGAAATTAACACTCAGCATGACTGCTATAATCAATCCAATCAGGCAAGTACCATTATCTTTTTGTAATTATTCATTTTCCTGGATGTCATGCTGAAAGCTTCCAACTTTTTGGTACCAACTAGTTATCCAAGTTACTGTGGATAGAAAGTGATGATAATACAACCCGCACCTGTTTGGAGTATTTTGCAGTAACTCACATCGCCTTGAGTCCTGCATTCATCAACAAGGGTAAGCTTTAATCCCAATTTAAAATTCAGGTCTCTCTTGACCTCATCTCATGTACATAGTAGTGGCCAATAAGGAAAAGCTTAGTCTATCAGTCTACCACATTTTTTCATGAGTCATTTCAGAATATCATATGAGTCGTTTCATTTCAACATGTCCTTGAAAGGGTCATCTCTCCAAAATTCATCTTGTCATGTCATGTGACCCATAATTTCAGGATGATGAAATTCAAGAACAGTTTATCCCTGGGCCAAAGGACATTGGTATGCTTTCATTTCTTTATGAACCAAACCTACACACCAAATTTCATAAAGTGATAGTGGTATATTTTTTTCATTTTCAGTGAGTACATTGAGTTGATGTGGAATTATCTGCATATCTGCATCTGATTTACAAAGCTTTACTGAGCTATGTAGAGTTCAGAAGAGAACCCAGATTGATTTTGAAGAAAGAGTCTTCACCTTTTGTTTTTCTTCCCTTTATCTGATTAATTTCATCCTTCTTTATTCTCTGCGAGTGGCACTACTAAATTTTGAGGAAGATAGCTTTAATTGAATTGAAATGCTACATTTAGACAGTTTTTGATTTTGCTGGTACTACCAAAATATGCATGACTGAACAAAATCCCCAGATCCATGCAGGAAATTCTAGTTTCTTCCAAATATGCTTGAGAAATTTGCATATTTTTTTATTTATTTATTGAAAGGGACACAACTTGTCAATTGTATGAATTAGTTTTTCAAGGAAAAAAATGCCTTCAACTGAGGAGGTTTTGTGCTGGTATTTTACATGCAATACTTTGTTCTGCAAAAGGTTTTCATTCACATCTATTGTAGATTATTTGGGCTGTGTTTAACTTATTGTCTCCTTTGGGATTCTATCTTTATTGAGGGAGTGAATGTCAAGATATTTGACTGATGCCTTATGGCACCTGATCTGGATGGTAAAGAATAGGCAAATTGGCCTTGACACTAACCTCAGCTCTTGGCATTCTTCAGTCTGGATAGGGCAGTTTTAAGGGTTTTTTTTCCTTGCTTCTAGCTGGGGGGGGGGGGGGTTGGTGACAGTCTGCATTTGAACTAGGATCTCATTTATGTTTGTAAACACATATCCTTTTAGAATCCCTCACGTTGATCCCCTTGTGAGGGGATCAACGTGAGGAAGGAAATGTGTTTTTTTTATTATGAATTGTGGGAAAAGGCTGGATTTCAGGGAAGATACCATCATGTGAACTAAGTGTGAAGTGAGAAGCATTTAAATCCTATGAGGATCTATGTTAATCCATATGATAAATGGATTTTGAACCTTATAGAATGCATCCAGAACCATCAAAGACTTAGCAAAAAAATTAAAGTTAGAATTTCCATAATAAACCTTTTTCCAAGGAACTTCTATATCTATACCCATTGTTTCAGCGCTGAATTTTACTGATAATATCACCATCATGAAATTATGTTGCTTTATTTTGAGACTGAATGTTTCAATGAAAGACTCGTGTTCAAACATTTCTTCTCTATCAAGCTAGGAATCACTCTCATCCCTGTTTAGATTGGAGCTCAATGGAGTATTCAACATGGACTGAATCCAGGTGGGTGGAGACAACTGCACGCATCTTCTTGGTTCCATCTCGCTTCCAAGAGGGTCTTACCCTTGGTCTTGGACTCATCATTTTTATCATCTCTCTGGGCATTTCCTTATTCTGTCATGCCAGAGCTTCACTGATATATGCCACAGCCCCAACTGTGCAGTCACAGCCTTCATGATCTCCCTGTGCTCAGTTGGGGAATACCCATGCAGGTATTCAAGCTGGGGATTCTGGTATCAATTTGGGGGTACATTTTGAGAACAATCCAAGGAAGTGTCCATCAGCTGTGCTGAAGGATCTTAATATACTAGCTGAAACTTAAATCATTCCTGCCCTCATGAGAAATTGGACTTACTTGATTCATTGATTGACCACCATATGTTTCCTGTTCCATTGTGATGTCCTCTGATTGGTACTGCTGTGATAAATTTATTATTCATGGATGTCAAATTTCATTTTTTGTACTACCTTCTCATAATTACTTCGTTATGTGGGAATGAAAGAAAAAAGCAAAGTGAAACTTTCATTTTCCAAGAAAGTATGGAGCCAGATGATTATGGAAAGAAGAGAACTGTGAACTATTTGCATATCTTCAATCAGAGATTTATAAATGAAGGTTCCAATTCTGAGCAAAAAAGAAAGAAGGGATGGGTTCTTGCCAGGCTTGTCATTTATGGTTAGGTGTTACTATGGTGTGGTTTCTTCTTCCACGGATTTGCTCCATTTGGATGTCATCGCTCACAAATCACAACCGTAAGTTTCCTTTGAGGTTGACTTTGGCTGACAGGATGCGTGTTAAAATTTGACACGGTAATCAGTTATGTTTAGCACGTTGAATATCACGGCCTTTTTTGTACACATTTCTATATCCTCTCTCTGAAGCCAAACCCAGTACATAGTACAGGGTGGCCCATTTAAGTATATGGTTTTGTTTGAATGTAGCTTGCATAAATTATTACCAATTTCAATCATATTTTAACACAAAGTAATGATGCGATAATTTTATTTGGCCAATTTTCTAAGAGTTCTGCTTCCAGGTTTTCGAAAAATTCAATTTTTACTGTACTTCGAAACTTTTGCATACGCGCGCTATTCTTGATAAATTCGATTTTTTGTTGTGATTCGGTCAATATCCGCCTTCTCGTATGATCGTTATCAAATGGCACAATGTTTTCATGGAAACTGGAAATGAAATTGCGGACTGAAAACGGTGAATAACAAGACGCTCAGAAAATGTCAACCTCATTCAGGAATTCGTTAAATTGTCTTACGGCTCATGTTCAAAGCACTTGCGGCTCTTCGAGTTCATGCATACGTATCTTGTTCAAAATGTTCCTGAATGCAGTTGGCATATTCTGAGTGCCTTGTTAATCGCCGATTTCTGTCCATATTTGGTACATTTCCAGTTTCCATTCGAGCATTGCCACTGGATAATGCTCAAACGAGAAGGCGGATCTCAACCGAATTCTGCACGCAACTTTCGTTGAACAATCACGAGACTTTTTGTTCTTTAGTAACAAGCAGCATTTGCCCGAAAATGACATCTAAAACCGAAAAAATGGTAAATTTCAAGAAGACAATGGGCTTAATAAACAGCATCAGTGACATGCGCATATGCACAGCATGCGAGTCGCAATTTTAAAAAATCAAAATTCTGAAAAACCTCGCTTCATAGATGGAAAATCAGCGTGCGTATGCAAAAGTTTCGAGTAATAGTAAAGATTACATTTCTCTGAAACCTCGGTGCAGAACTCAATGAAAATTCTAAGGTCAGCACTACTTAGCGTAAAAATATGATTGACTTGGTATAAATTTACGCAAGCTATAGCCAAACTAAACTGTATATACTTAAATGGGCCACCCTGTATTTTTTAATAGACCAAATTTAGATACTCATTATTTTGCTCATCGTAACACACAGATGAAGTCACTGGCGTCGGTTTAGTTAGGACACTGCTAGTTTTACGTCCTTACACTTCTCAGAGGTCATTGAACCCACCGGTGTCCTAAACCTTGAAACGTTTTTAGACATTGTCAGCTGGCGTTGTGATCCGCTAGAAGACCGACACTAACCTTACGAGGGACGTTACTTGGAAAGATACAGACTATACTTCGGCAAATATTGCCAATACAGGGTGGTCGTAAAGTCCTGATCCATTTTTGGGAAAGAAACGAAATATTGTGATAAATGCTTTATATGTTAATCATTATCATATATACAGTGTATTTTAATACAATTTAACATGACCACCTTTCATTTCAAAACACCTGCCAACGTTCCACTGTCGCTCGGAAAATCTTTTGTAATATATCTGCTGTAATGCTCTCGGCTGCAACGTAAATGCAATTTCTAAGATCTGGAATGTTAACCTTTGACCTTAGATTTGATAAAGCCCCAGACAAAGAAATCTAAGGATGTCAAGTCGGGTGAACGTGGTGCCCATAGTCTTTGTGAACCTCTACCTATCCATCTGCCAGAAAGGCTTCATTGAGGTAGTCTCTCACGATTTTTTTAAAAACAGCAGTATCAAAGATTCCATCATCCCTTAGTTGTGGCTCCAAAAACTTTTTTTTCTGTGAACATGAACGGGCCATAAATTTTAGTTTTTGTGAAACCTAACCAGACATTCACTTCTGGTGTGTCTCTTTGCCATTCTTAGGTTGCATTTGGCTGCTCTTCAGCCCATATTCGGCAATTGTGCTTGTTAACATGCCCGCAAATGTGAAATGTGGCCTCATCGCTGAATAAAATGTTATGCATGAGGTTTGTGGTGTTTACGGCCTCAAGAAGGTCATAGCACATAGCTTGACGAGCTGCATAATCTTCAGCTTCTAATTTGTGGAGCACCTGTATGTGGTAGGGCCGTTTTTTCAGCTTAGAATGTAAAGTTTTTAAGACGGTAGTTTTTGGTATGCCAAGTTCGTTACTTAGACGACG